AGAAACATATTAACTAATTTTTGGTAAAATTACACGTAGATTTTGTTAATGCTATTTTTTCTTTTTTGCAAAATAAAGAAATAAAAAATTACCATGACTTTTTTGCGAATAATAAAACATATAAATATGTAATAATATTTTGAATATTAAAGATCAAATTACTGTAATAATTTACGTGCTACAAACGTTATAGGAAGTCACATCTGTTCACATGGATCAAATATTTAATAAAAATAGCGTATTTTGCTTTAATTTAGAAATTATCAAAAAAATCGAGTAAGATCAAATAAATAACACAGGCTAATAAATTTTTAACCCCGAGTATACTTTTTTAAACGACTGAGCAATGATGATTCTGAATCTGACCTTAGATTATATCCATCATACCAGAACTCCGTTTTTGGTTATATTTAAAACGGCGAAGTCCCCTTTATTTACAAAATTTATATTTATGTCATTTGAAAGTCCAATGTGCCGACTTTAAAATTAAGATTTAAGCTCCGTTATATTTAAAATATGGCCATAAACGTATTTTTTTAAACTTTATGGCACTATATCTTGAAAACTTAATGAGATGGATAAAGTGTTTTTCCATCCTTTAGCAAAGTATGCTTTGGCCTCTGGTTTTCAACTTTCTTCAAATTTTGTTGGCCTGTGTAATTTAAATATTTTATTATGTAATTTGAAAAAAAAACTTCAATCTTAATTTTCTGTTCTAAGTAATATTCCAGACCGGTATGTTTCCATTCCATTATGTTTAATAAACAAAATTTTATATCTGCAAAAAATTAGAAAAGATTTTTAATTTTATAATCCTCCTTGACGCCAACAATTACTTTCGCAGAAGATCGAACATCTGGACAAAAAAAAAAAAAACATAACATTTTTATTGTTAAAAATTTAAGGAATTAGGAAAAATAAACATATTGGAAAATAACGTTAAAAATGCAACTATATAAAGTTTATTTTCTTAAGCAGAATTTGGGTATAACAAATGTTAAAATTTTTTTTATTTTTTTTGCAAAAATTAAATTGTAATTATATAGGTATCTTTAAATTTGCACAAAAAGATACATTTTAAATTCATTTATCTCGAAAATACAAATCATAAGAGTTGGTATTAAGTAAACATTATTATCATCACTCTTATGGAATTTTGCAAAAGATAAAAATGTTAATGACTGCCTCGGCTCGTTAATTTCAAAAGTCAAAAATACTTCTGATTCATGTTGAATTCTTTATAATTTGTTTAATTAGTTGACAGAGATGTGTCTAAAAATATTCACCCACTTAATGCAAGAGCTTTGAAATATTAACATTATTATATTCTTTTACTAAAAAAATTGTTAAAAACGGCCTATATCTTAGGTTTGAAAATGATTTGGGTATTTTTTGCACACAACTCAGCGCACAACATCTCATTAGCTTGTATGTACAAAAGAGCTAAGTCCACTTTTTGAAATTTTCATTAAAATAGATTGTTTGGAAAGAAAATATGCAAATTATATAAGTACATAAATATTTACAAATCACAAGTCCTAAAAAGCAAGAAAACAGCCATTTAGTTTATATATTTAATAAATTTATTCCCTTAAAATTTATAAATATGCACTTAGCTCAATTGCCCAATTAAGCCAACAGTATTTATAGGTCAATTTCTAAGATTATTTTCACTCTTTTTAGAAAATAATCTTAATTACTATAAATATGAATTTTCTAAAATATTTGTATTATTATAATTTTTTATGTATTATAATTTTTACAGACATTTAACTTAAAAATTAATTTATAGTTTCACTAGAAAATTTAATCAGACCCTTTTATAACAATTAAACTAAATGTCAACAGAAAATAATTAAAGTAAATAAAGTATAACGTTTAATTTGAAACAAATTGTTCGTAAAATAAATAAATAAATAAATGACGTCATAAAATTATTTACAAGTTTACTTTCACTAAAATTTTATGATAAATACTACAATGATAATAAGTAAGAGTTTCGAAAGTTTTTGAAGAATTTTTCTTTAATTTTATAAAAAAAAATTTTTTTAATAGTATAGTTTTCCAAAAATATTTTTTTTTTTGCAAATTTTCTAAAAATATAAAAAAAATTTAAAATTTTATTAAAAAAATAGATTTTTTCGAAAATTTTCCAAAAAAAAAAAAAAAAAAATAGAACTACGAAAATATTATATTTTTTTTTAATTTTTCGAACATTTTTTACTAAAAACTAAAATTTTTCTAAAAAAAATAATTTCTGACAAAAAATCTTTTTTGAAAGTTGTATGGACAACTTAGACATCCATATGAACTTACTACAAAATAAGCGGTCTAGGTACAGTGGGCGTGGCACCTTATCAATAAAGATAATATTAAATTAGTATATCTAAGAAAAAATAATAGAGTTCCCAAATTTTTTCGAAGCAACTTTAGTATCAATATTTTAGACAAAAAATTTGCGGACTAGCAATAGGAGGCGTGGAATCTTCTATACGAATTACTAGCATACCCTAGGTGCTTCGCTACCCTAGCCAAAATTAAATACATACAAAATTATGTTTTCTTTTATAGAAAATCAAAATTGATTTAAAATTTTTTTAATGTTTCAGTTTTTTACGTTAAATTTTACGTGAATAAATTCGCAATCAGTAAGAAGCTTGAATTTTTAGTTTCATTCGTTTAGCTTCCACATTATAGAAAATTTCGAAAGTACTTTTTAAAAAAAAGTACTATAAAATACCTCTAATAGATTCTCATTTAATTTTCTATATTCAATATCGTAAAAATATCAAAAAGTACCATCGGAAAAACGAAAAAGTACAAAAATCTCTCTCAATAAATTCTCATTTAATAAGGATCAAAAGGTATCATTTGAAGAATGGAAAAGTGCCAAAGAGTTCCCACTTACAGAATATTATTCAGTCAAGACCACGTATGTTAAAATTTATGTTCCTATGATGAATATTTCAGAAAATTTAAAAAGTACCATTTATGAGATAAAAAGTACTAAAAAGTTCTCTTAAAGAGTCTTATTCAATGAAGAGCATGTATGTTTAATAATCACGTGTTTTGAATTCATATTATTGAACATACAAAGAGTATCATTTGAAGAAAGAAAAAGTACCAAAAGTGGAATAAATTCTACCTTGGTGGAAAGTACTAATAAAAAGAGTACAATTTTTCCCCCTTTACGAGAATTAAGTTTACAAAATATTCCGTGATTAAATCTATATATCACAGATAACACTCAAACGATTCAAATCTGTATTCATTTGATCCAGAAAAATTGTGTTTTCAAAAAGTACCAAACAATTTAGTCGAATTTGGTAAATAAATAAGACTTAGTACTCGAATTCCAAAATAATATAACAAAAGCTTATTTTGTGTGAGTAAGTAAACCACTTTTTTCAAATTTTATAAAAAATGGCTCAATGAGTTTGAATAAAATTAAATTTCCCATTTTTTCCCCTTTTTGGTACATGTTTCCCCAGTGAAATAGCTAAAATTTTGTTTCAATAAATATTACATAGTTAGATCGTAATTTAATAATAATAACTTCAATAAATCGAAAAAGTTGTTTTAATGTGCTAAGAAAAAGTACCATAAATACAGTTTTCTCCCTTTAACATTCAAAAAGGACTGAATTTTAAAAAAGTACGAAACAGTTGTCTCATAATTTTAGGACATATATTCAAAATATTTACTAAAATGTTATTTTCTTTATTAGTTAACTAGTTATAAAGAGCCAAAAAATGGTACCAAAATCACCTTTATTAAACATTTTCACCCCTTAAAAGTACGAATTTCAAAAAAGTACCAGACAACCATCTGGTCATTTTTAGAGTAGATAGATACAGGTGCCTTTAAAATTTGTCTTGTATCACTAATATTATGTAAGATAATTAAGAAAACCTGTTTTACCCGTTTTTTCCCTTTTTTTCCTAATGTACCAAAAACACATCTACTGTCAAAAGTTCATGTTTCTAGGTTCAGCCGTTTGGGCTGTGCGATTATGAATCAGTCAGTCAGTAACGCTACTCTTTTATATACATATATAGATATACAAAAAGTCGTATATCTGAGAAACTATTGTGGCTAGAATCCCTCAAATTTTGCATGAAAAACATTGATATTCAGATGAACATTTAGGGATAAATAGGGCGGAGAAAAATCGTATAACTAGGAATTTATTAGAGATAGAATTTTAAAATTCTCAAATTCATTGATATGAATCCATTTGAAGGTTTGGAACTTGCAAAAGGGGGCATTGAATCTACTATAAAATTAAATACAAACGTTCGTAGATCTATTAGAGCTAGAATCCTAAAATTTTGCACGAAAAACTTTGACATCCATGTGAACATTGAGAAAAAAAAGGGCAGACTTTCTCATAGTGTAAGGCGGACTATATTAGGTATATTTTGATGGTGAGAATTGAGGTTTCGATTCTCACCATTCAATTTTATGGAAATATATCAAAAAAAAAAAAAAGAAAATGAAACTAAACTTTCTTACTAGTTCAAAATATAGAAATAATCTTATCGTCCATACAATCATATACTACTCTAATGTTTTCATATCTAAATCTGCAATAAACATCCTTCCAACTATTTGGCGTGAAGTTGAAACAATGAGTTATCTTTGTTAAGACACATATAAAATTTTTAATGGTCTATAAGAATTTAATGGCAATTTGATGAATTTTTATGTTGACAGTAAATTTTTGCTTCAACATAAGTATTGTTTTTTGTTGCATTCATCTAGAAGATTTATTTACTGTGTGATTTTATAAATGATTTCTTTAAACATAAACATTTGATTGTGAAGATTTCAAACATTTTTTCTTCATACTTTTTTTCTACATATTTGTATGCAAAATAATGTCAACAAAAATGAACTTTTGTTTAGATATCTTTTCTCCTTGAAGCAAACATAAAAACACAACACATTTGGTAACAATATGTTTAATGGAAAATTTGTTTTTATATGTATCTTTACAGGGAATTCAACAGAGGACGTACGCTTTGAAGACAAGTACAAAATTATTTAAAGATTTAAATTTATTAGCTAAAGATGAGGCATTTCGTAATGCCACCACAATATATCCGGTCACAACAACTGATGATTTTTATAGACTTCATGCTTATTTCTCAAAGGTGAGTAATGATTTCAAAATTTAGAAATATTTTGATTAAACTGAATTTTTGAGGCCCTTCACCTACGTGAAAATATTATATACATATGTTATATAATTTTTCGATCTTAAAAAGTATATATTCTGGATCCTTATAGACAGCGGAGTCGACTAAGCCTTGTGTTTCTATCTGTTTGTCCGTATGTATAATAATAATAAATAAATTTTCAGAAAAACCCAGATATCTGCGAGATACGAATCTTCGATAATTCGGTCAGCTATATCGAACAATAAATAACGCAGATATGAGCAAAATTCCTAAACAACCTATGAAAATATTATGTTTCTCATTCTTGATTACATTTTTCAAAAACTGTTTCACCAAATTTTGTTCAAAATTTCATATAGCTCCCATACAAATTTACATACTCCCGGAAAACGGATTTATTGTTATAACTCCTTCTAGAATATTGGTATTACCAACAAATTTTTCACATATAAATCTAATATCAAGAGAAATGGTATTACATACCAACTAAAACCTCGGATCGGTCCATAATTGACCATAGCACCCATATAAGGTCCAATTCCGAAAATGAATTAAAATAACATATTTCATTAACAAATCACCAAATCCGGACAAAATTGAACACAATTATCTTTACCGAAATTTGTTTTTGGATCGGCCCATAATTGGTCATATAAAGTCCACTTTCGAAAATCACTTAATTGTAAATAAATCATGAATTAATAATGACATCGGGATAAAATTGTACTTAAATATCTTATGTATATAATTCTGTGAAAATCGGCCCACAATTGGTCCATATAAAATCCACTTCCGAAAATAACTTAATCGTAAGTAACTCGTTACTTGATAATCATATCGGGATAGCTCTCATACAAAATTTCCTGATGGGCCCATATTTGGTCATAACTTCTATATAAAGCCCTTTTCAGAAAATCATGAATTTATAATGAAATCGGGATAAAATTCTAAAGAATATATTTTTTTTATACAAATTATTCTGAGATTATTATAAAATGTAAATTTCTGCAAATATTCGACTTGTTATTAAAAAAACTAGCTTAGAGGTGAAGGGCATTTAAGATTCCGCATAGCCGAATATCGCTTTCCAACTTATTTTAATTTTATTTAAAAATCCTTTTTGCTAAACTTTACCTTTATCTTAGTATCATTTAGAAATTGTCCATCTTAATAGCGGAGAATTGGAACAGAAATCATATCGCATTGCCAATGGTACGATATCGAATAATATCCTCGAAATAAGATGGCCCCTAGGCGTACCATTGGCCAGTGCGCCTGAGACACGACACGACATCCTCATGTGGCATCTCATAAATCGCACTCATATATTTTTACCAAATGGTGAGAATAATATCGAAACATTAAGTACAATTGAATCTTTAGATTTGAACAAAGTGCTCGACATAACCATACAATATGCAAAAACCAAATTTCCCACCATGATTAACACCGGCATACATAGTATCTATAGAAGGTTTGATGCTACACGGGGTATGGACTATCAAATACATTTAAATATGCGTGATACGGGGAGAATGTCGGCGCTGACACAGAGGAATAGTATAATAAAAAGTTTTCAAATTGTAAAACCTTTGGGACGGGTGGAAGTGGTGCCATCACCTTATGTTACGGAAAGTACACGTATAGCCATACTGGTGCCTACGTTTGAACATCAACTAGAGGATGCTTTGGATTTCATAACACAATATGAAAAGATATGCATGCACAATCAGGATAATACATTTTTATTAATGGTATTTATTTCATAATCAATATTTTTTATAAAAATTTTACTAATTATTTTTTTTTTCTTTTAGATTTTCATGTACCGTTATGATTCCTCTAGCAAAGGAGACACTGATCCCTTTAAATCTCTCAAAACTCTTGCCTTAGATTTATCTTCAAAATATAAAACTGATGGTTCTCGCATTGCTTGGGTATCCATACGTTTGCCTTCGATGTTAAGTGATCCCATACCCTCTGAAAATGTAATGCTCAACTCTTTATATGGCCATAATGAAATTCTAAGTGTGGCTGTAGCTGATCTTGCCCTGCCTAAAATTGGCTTAGAAAGTCTAGTCTTAATGGCTTCAAATTCTATAACTTTCAAACCCGACTTTCTTAATCGGGTAAGTAATTTTGTTATATTTATTATTATACATTTAAATTATTCTCATTTTATATTTCTTAGGTTCGCATGAATACCATACAAGGTTTTCAAGTTTATTCTCCGGTGGGTTTTATGATGTATCCTTGTAAATTGGCTGGATTCTGTAAAGAATGTGAGACATGTGATGTTAGTCAAAGTACGGGTTATTTTGATAAATGGAATTATGATGTTATATCGTTTTACAGTCGAGATTATGTACAAGGTAAGTACAATTCAATTACTTAAACTTTGAACTATTGTAGAATCTATTTTTTGTGGTAAATCAAACAGAAAATTAAGTAAAATTGTGTTATATATATGAGGAATAGAGCTAATAATAAAATAACATTTGGTAGAGAGATTTTGGATCTTATAAAGCTTATTTAGTATGTATATCGAAATTCTATAAAAATTTGATTATTTTTATACCCAGCATTCAAAAAGATGATTTTGTCATTCCGTTTATAACACATCGAAATGTCGGATTAAGACCCATTAATATATATAGATATTCTGGGACTTCACTAGACTGTAAGACAATCTAGCTATGTCCTTCCGTCTGTATGTCTGTTAAAAACACGATAGAGTTCAAATGAAAAGCTGAAATATTTGCCAAATATTTTTAATTGATGCAGTTTGTTTAGTTTTGAAAATGGGCAATATCGGTCCAAGATTTCAGCTACCCCCCATATAATGTCCCCTTAAAAAATTACTTTCATACTCATAACTGACTTAAAGAAGAACGAGTTTTATAAAAGCTAAAATCTTTTTTGCCTAATTTTATGCGGATAGGTCCAGAATTGGCTCTATCCTACGCTCATAACTGATATAAATACACACAAGGTCTATAGGAATGAAAATCTCCCTGTCAAATTTTATCACGATCGGTTTATAATTAATCCTACCCCCCTTCAAAATGCCAGTATAGCAACGAAATTCGACATAAAGCAGCTTTATAGAAAATAGTTTAGTAAAATTTTGTGAGAATCTGTCTACAATTGACCCTACCGCCATATATGACCCTCTCAAAATACGACATGATGATCAGTAATTTTAGTAATTAGTCTTGGTTTTTTTAGGATTTACCCTACAGTGTGTATTAGTAATAATCGTCATGTATTCGTTACAAAGTGTATTTAGTTATGTTGTAAAAATGTTAATAAAAAGTACTAGGTAAACAGAAATCTGTAGAAGTAAAAAAAGTTTTTTAGCAGACAAAATCTTTTTCTATTTCGTAAAATTCAAGTACATACTGCTTAACTACCAGGCGACCAGAAATCTTAATAAGTGAAAAATATATATTTAGTTTACCCTATTTTAGGTAATAACCCATATTGCTTTAGGTTTGTTGTTATTTACTTACTTTTCAATAAATACAAAGTATTACAAAATATCAGGACAACAGAAATATGTGCTACTGTATATAAAAGTTGGTATTTTTTATTTATTAATATTTTAATTATTTGAAATTTCGTTTAATTTTATTTAATTCTATATAAATACTAGGCTAACAGAAATTTAAGCAACTATTAATATTTATTATTTCAACTTTCTTTTTTTGCTTTTGAGTGGCTAAAATGTTTTTACATGCCAGGCGTTCAGAAAATTATGTATGATAAAATAATCGTTTTTTAATTATCATCTTATTTTAGGGAATAGTAATATATTTTTATATGTGTTTGTTTACAATTATTATAAATGTTTCCTTTTCCTTTTCTCATTTACATTCTCTTACCCTACTTATGGTTAATTAGGAATATGTTTATATGTTTGTAAAGAATTTAATTATTTGAATTAATGTATTCTGTCTCAATACATATTGATATTTTACAAATAATCATATAAATTTTTTCCAATCTACTGCTTACTAACTAACTACAACTTCATTAAATATTATTTATTATTAACAAAATATTAAAAATTATACAAAATACCAGGATAACATAAATTTCAAAAAGAATCCTTTTAATTTATAAAATCTGTATGAATATATACACCTTTTACTTAGTATGAAGATCGTTTTACTCCTACACCCTTCATTAGGTCATTGATTGCACTTCATAATAATGTTGCTGCAAAGAAAAAAAGTTACATTTGAATATTTATTAGAATTCAATAGACAATTTAAATTAAATTTATTTAACGGTTCTTTTAAATAAATAATTTCAATAAAACCTAGATATTTAATGTTGTTAGTAAATGTTTTCTGTAATGTAGTATTTTATTTGATTCGTTTCTTATTTACCCTTATTATTTTCATGTATCAATTCTAGTTTTAAGAGAGAGTTAACAGTTTATATTGATCTCTTCTCTATTGTTATGAAGTGTGTTTGTGTTTTTTTTTTTTCATAATTTTCTTTATTAATTTTCTGTTTACATTTAATTTTACATACTTACATACATATTTGTTTTTGCTTGCAATAAAAGTACCGTTATTATATTTATGTTTATTGTCTCCTAATTGTGTTGTTACATTGTTCAGTAAGTGTCTAGGAAAAAACAATCATAATTATCAAAAAGAAAGGTAGAATAAAAAGGAATTGAAATATTTTGTTGATAGTTGCGTAAAATTCTGCTAGTTTGGTATTCATACAGAATTTGAATTTTTAAATAAGGGAAATAAATATGCTTTATTTATATTGTTTTCTTTATACTTGTTATTTCGTTAATGTATGTATTTGTTAGGCAAATGCCATAATATGTATATGATATATTTATTGTAAAATGTATATAACAAACATATGACAATGTTCGCTTTTACCTAAAGTAGTGTAAACTGAAAATACATATGTACAAAATATATTTTTCACTAAAATTTTCGATCGCCTATAAAACAACAGTTTGAAACAAATTGAAAAAGGGTATAACTATATATATTCTGGGACTTCACTAGACTCTAAGACAATTTAGTCATGCCTGTCCGTTTGTCTGTCTGTTAAAAACACCATAGAGTTGAAATGAAAAGCTGAAATATTTCCCAAATATTTTTAATTGTCTACAATTGACCCCACCGCCATATATGATCCTCTCAAAATACGACGCAGCGAATAAAATTTTTTTATTCCATCTGAAAGTCCAATCTGTCGACTATAAAATAAAGAGTTCTGTTATATCTTCTCTGAAAGTGTAGTAAGTCAGTTAAAAGCCCAAATATTACTAGGTTCGAGAAGAAAGTGTCACTATACAATTGTATCACACCAATTGGAGAAATACAAGATGTTGATAAGAACGATTTTAAATTAGAATAGAAGGTTATATGAAATGACAAATTTTTTTTAATTAGTTGTGGAGAACATACTCCATTGTTTGAAATACAACTGTATGAAATCGTTTTGCAATATATTTATTCAATAGACTATATTTTTAAAATACGAAACTTTAGCAATTAATAAAAAATTGCATTTGTTTTGACAACTTTTTCATTTACTCTATCATTGGTAGCAGTTCTCTTTGTTATTTATTTGTTTGTACCAGGGTTGACAAATAGAATTTTCAAATTTTACAAAACAACATTAACAATTGTACTTTTCATTATAAAGCACAAAATTAACAGTTCATTTGTATTAGCTCATAGATTAGCCATTAGACTAGTCAATAAACAAGACCATTTGGTTACCAAATTGATCCATAGACTAGACAGTCTATAGCCTCCCTATGGACTACACAATGGAGTAGTCTATTAACTAGACAATAGACTAGTCTATAGGTTAGACATTAGAGTAGAGTTTTACTAGTCTATAGATTAGAATGTTATACATATATTAGTCCAAAGGCAAATTCATAGAGTAGTCTAGACTCTAAAGACTAGATAATAGAATAGTCGGTAAATAACGCAAAGACTAACACAGAGACTAATTTATAGACTAGACGATAGAAAATTCATTAGACTAGTCCAAAGTTTAGTAAAAAGTACTTTAAAATCTATTCAAAATAGCGATCGGATAAAAAAAATTATCCTAAGTAAATACTCTTTGTTGAAGTTTATTTCAGCTTGTCTGGTTGTAAACACTTCTAGGTTTCTAAATAATATGAGAAGGACTACCTACCTTTGAAATTTGTGTCAGAAGTACAATTTCAGATTATTATTTCAATAAGGAAATAAATTTAAAATTGTACAAAATGGGTCATTGGTGTACCATTGTACTTTTGAGGATTGAATTGTACCAAAAAAAGTACAATTGTACCGATTTTGCCAACCCTGGTATGTACAAACCAGGGTTGGCAAAATTGAGAAATTTAAGACAGATATTTGAGAATTTCTATAAAATACCAGGCCATCATTATTAAAAACAAGTGACGTGGTAAACAAACTAAAAAACGTTCTTTATTGTTTTGTCTTTTA